ATTTTTTGTTTGTTGGGCGGGGGGTGGGGGGTGGACAGTGGCATATGATGTTATTTGTAGAAAAGACAGTCCTGTCTCCATTGAATTGCTTCTGCAACTTTGTCAAAGATCAATCAACTATTTGTGTGAGTCTACTTCTGGACTCTTTATTTCATTCCATTAATATTCATGTATATCTTTTACCAATACCATTTTGTCTTGCTTATTGTAGTACAACTCTTAAAATATAATGTCTGGCATAAATAAATAAAAATAACCACTTATACAAGGAAATAAGATAATAACAAATAATAATAAAAAAAAAAAACAGAAAAAGCAAGGCAATGGAAACAACCTCCAGAGCTCTGGAATTTGGAATTATCAAAGTACTCTTACTTATTCAATGAGATAAAAGACAAGATTTTTTAGAACTTTAGCACCGAGGTATAAACTATTTTTTAAAATGATGAAGCAGACTTGAAAAAGAACCAAATTGAAACCCCAGAACTAAAAAAGCAATAACTAAAATTAAGTACATTATATCCAGCTGAAGAGAAAACAGTAAAATAAAAGATGAGTCAATATAATAAAATAGGAGGGAGCAAAAGGATTGGAAAAACATGAGTATATGAAAGATTTTATGGAACTTCAGAGCAGTATGGAAAAATAATAATTTTTCAATAAATAGCAATAGGGTAGGAAGAAGTAAACTACAGTACTTACAGATGTGTAGTTAAGTAGTAAATGAATTAAGAAAAGCAAATAAATGATTATCATAGACATCCAAAAATAATTATATTTAATGGAGAAGAAAAGTTTGTGTTTGTGAGTGGGACCATGGTGGGGTGCTCTTAATATTCTATGTTTTCACCTATATATAGCTAGGTTTCACTTTATAATAATTTTATTAAGCTGGACATGTATGTTTAAGCAAAGTTTTAAAATATGGATGGATGGTAGTGATACGGAATTTTTGTACTGGAACCCAGATTCTTTGTCCACCAGAGTCGAAGAATGAATCCATGGACAGAGGGTAGTATAGCAAAGGTGGAGATTTATTGAAGAACAAGTACAGACTCCCACGTGGGCAGAGGGAAATAGCCCCACAGAATGGACTCCCACATGGGAGGGGGAAAGGGTCCACCGACTTCCTGTTTCCATGGTTTATAAAGGCTATAGTTCCTGTGTCCTGACATCCCCTCTGATTTGGTCAATATTCCCTTTCGAATTGGTTACTATATTGACTCCTGAGGCCCTCCTCCCTCATTGTCCTCCTATTCCTTCTGAGCTATCTTCCTTCTTTATTTTGTAAATAGTATAGACCTTTTTTGGCTACTTCCAGTTCCCTTGTCTTATGGAAATATACCTGTTGCTGCTTCCTTGTGTTATGGAAATGTACCTTCTCCCAATCTGTAGCCCTATGTTTTTCCCATGGACCCCAATTCTAAAAATTCCCTAAAACTGCCATTGTTCCCCTAAAATTCCTGTTTCAGTAGCAGACCTAGAGAGGCAAATCTTAAACTGACAGTAGAAAAAGTTCAGAAATAACCCAATTTACATGGAAGGATTGGGTTAGAAATAAAAGGATAAGTTGAAATATCTAATAATCAGTTTGAGCTCCAAATCCCCTTCCCTATTCTATTCATTCATGTAACTGCCTCTTGGCCACTCAACAGAAGGCTGAAGGTTTCTTTTCTGTCAGGGTAAAACATTGTCTGGAGTATTAAATATTTGGCAGATGTGAGAGTGATGGTATTTCTCTGAAAGTAGAAAAATTAAGTTAAAATATACATATACGTAAGAATATTAAAGCCCCAGACATCATTCTCAGCTTATGTGCTGATACAATGAGAGTTGGTTTTTATCCTAATATCAAGAGATTAGTAGTCTTTTCTGGAATATCTGACCACCTGCAGAGGAAATATTTAAAGATACTGAGTTCAGGTATTTTAGAAAGAGAATTGCCAGATGTAGCAAATAAAAATATAGAATACCCAGTTAAATTTGAATCTTAGATAAACAAATAATTTTTAGTATGTCACATGCAATATTTGTGACACATTTATATTTAAAAATTATTTTTTGTTTATCTTAAATTTAAATTTAACTGGGCATCCTGTATTTTATCTTAGAACCCTAAGAAGGAAGTAGCCCAGCCTGATTAACCTACATGAAGACCACAGCTGACAAATTTCAGTCTCATGCACAGAGCTTTCAGTCAGTTATTCACAGACTTAAATATAAGTGAATGGTCAGTGAAGGATTACCAGATATTTGAGAAAAGCTTCTAATATAAAAAATAAAAAATAAATTTTAAAATGCAGCTTGGATAAAATAGAGACTAGTTAAGAAGAAAATAATTTTTAAAACTGAAATATTTTTAAAGAAATTAAATTGTTTCCCTAAAATCCTACAACAGTATCTTATTAAAATAAAAAAGCAAAGAAAAAACACAAAACCACCAAAAATGATTCCCCAAAAATTATCAATGACAGTAGACATATAAAAATCAAAGGTTTAAAATATTAAGTTGATAAAATGTTCTAGAAATCAGAGCATAAAGAGTAAGAGTTAGAAGAAAATAGAAGAAAAAGATAGATATTAAAAGTTAAAGAACCAGTTCAAGAATGCCTTCACCAAAATAATACGGATTCCAGAAAGAGAAAATAAAGAAAATGAGATATAAAAATCAAATATCTAAGAGTTTTTCAATAACTGAAGAACATAAATACTTAGATTAAAGGTCCTCTAAATGCCCCCATGCAATGGATTAAAACAGAGCTACAACCAGCAAGATCATCATGCAATATCAGAACACTGGGGACAAAGAAAAGTTTTCTATGAGCTTCCAGTGAAGAAAAGATCTCATGCAAAGAATCAAGAACAAAAAGGATTCCAGATTTTAGCAGCAAAAAAGCTACAAGAAAGTGGGTTAATGTTTTCACTATTTTAAGTGAACTTATGTCCAACCTAGAATTCTACTAGTGTATCCAGCTGTCTCAGTTCTTTCAAGTCGCTTTAACAGAGTACCATAGAGTGGCTTATAAACAACAGAATTTTATTTCTTGCAGTTCTAGAGGCTGGGAAGTCTGAGATTAGAGTACAGGTATATTCAGTGTCTGATGATAGACTACTTCCTAGTTCATAGAGATCCATCTTGTCACTGTGCCTCACATGACAAAAAAAAAGCAAAGGAGCCCCCTGCTGCCTCTTTTTTAAGAGAACTAATTCCATTCATGAGGGCTTAACCCTCATGACCCAATCACCCCCCAAAGGCCCCACCTCCAAATACCATCACATGGGGTTTAGTTTTCAACATTTGAATTTGGGGAGGACACAAACAGTCAGTCTATAACACTGGCCAAACTATCAATCAAAGGATGAGGATAGACAGAAGCCATTTTCAAGCATTAGAGCCCAAATTTATCTATGAATTTTCTTTTGTAATCTACTGGGGCATGTGCTCTGCTAAAACAAGAGATTAGGTTCAGAAAGGAGGCAACATGGGATCCAGAAAACAGGGGATCCAACACAAGAGGTAAACGGAATCCCCAGGATGATTGTCAAGGGAGATCTTCAGATGCCTGCTGTGACTGTAACAAGACATTAATACAGCCCAGAGAAGGTAAGAAAGTCCTGGGAAAAACAGACGACCTTATGAGGAGGACATTTACACATCTGGGTTAGCATCTGGAGAGAATTTATGGTTTTGCTGGTAGAAAACGAAGGGGAAATAAATGAGACAACTGCAAAAAGCATTGGAGGGGTAATGGTTACCTGTATCAGGGTCCTGAACCAGTCTCTTTGAGTTCCTGGCTCTGCCACATATACCTTATTTTCTTCAAATATAAAACAGAGATAATAATAATTACTGCTTACCTCATAATGTTGCATTAAGTAATATATATATGTATGTATGTATATTGGATATATATATAAACTATGTAGATATATAAGGACAGTACCTATCACAACATAAGAGCTCAATACATATTAGTAATTACAGTGTACTCCATAGCTCAGCTATGTAGCATGTATACAGTCACAATGATATTAAACTGAATATTTGATAAACTGAAAATACAGTGATACTGAGGTGGATGGAGGGATGGGACAAGTACATGTTTATGAAGAATGGGAAGGGTGTGTGTGGAAGGGAAGATATTCTCAATATTCATTATTTGAAAATATTTAAAAGTGAAAAATGAAAAAGTAGTAATAGAAGCATACTATTTCCAGGTATGAATGAGAATACTAAAGAATTAACTTAAAGAATTAAAACTGATTGCCTTTGGCCCTGCTGGTGTGGCTCAGCTAGTTGGGCATCACCCAAAAGGTTGTACGTTTGATTCCTGGTCAGGGCACATACTGTGGTGTGGACTTGATCCCCTGTAGGGGCCATGCAGGAGGCAGCCTATCAATGTTTCATTCACATCGATGTTTCTCTCTCCCTTTCCCTTCTTCTCACTCTAAAAATCAATTTAAAATCTTTTAAAAATAAAAATAAATAAATGTCTTTTTTTAAAAGTGATTGCCTTTGAATGGAGGTATGGCAGCATTATTTTTTCACAAACTTTGCAGAACTATTTGATTCTACTTTGTGCATGAGTAACAAATTTTAAAAAATTAAAACCAGACTTAAAACAAACCAAAAAGTCATTTGTATGTAATGCCAGAGAGAAAGCAATTTACAAAGCAGTACATTTCTATGAGGCTTGCGGCCTCCGGAGACTAACACATATTGAATAACCACATACTTCCAGGGACAGCAGTTAAGCTCTCTCAATTGATGTTCCTTGTGGGTGTCATTTTGGAACACATTTGACCCCAACTGTCAGCCTTCTTCTGCATGTGGCAGGATGTCCCCTGGCTCTCTGTGTCACTGTAACAGGTGAATAACTAAGAAAAAAGCAATCCTTCTGTCTGTGGACACTTGTTTATAATGGCATTTGGGGTCCTGGGGCTAGGCGGACAGGTGCTCTTCCAGAAGGCTAATGAGATAAAGGTTCCTCCAGCTGGCCCTTACGCAGAGCTTACACCTGAGAAGCAGATAAGCAGATTACTCCAGAAACAGACACTGCTTCGTGTTCTTCATAAATCCGCACCCTCGTAAAGGTAAACCAAGAAGGTTATCCTCACTCAACTTGCATCAGTATTTAATTCTTTCCCATATTTCTGTCCTTTTCTGTTTCAATGAGATTTGGGGCCCTTCCATGATTGTTACCAGATTTACCAATGCACAAAAGTCAGAATGTATTTGGAAACCAGAAGGGCTATTTTTGTTATTTGGATTTTTCTCCAAGTTCAAGGAAACAAAGGTACGTTGTTTAAACTTGTTCATTTTTAAATTGCTTACCTGTAAAATCTAGTTACAGAAATGAACATTCAAAATCAACAAGGTTAGCACTGTATCTCAGAGGGCTAGTATATGAGAGGCCCTAAATAAATACTGAATGATTGATTAAATGATTGTCCAAAATGGTTTTTACTTTATTAAATATTTACTACATAATCCTAAATTGCAATTTATATTAACAAAATAGGAGAGACGAATGCATCCAAATCCTTAAAATTGACAAATAAAATCTAAAAAATATAATTACTGTTTTTTCATTATGATCAGACAAAAAGTGTATTTCTTACCTTCTCACAGTTAAATCATGAGTTGCTTCCCTTAGAAAATAGAAAATCTGCTTTAGCTTCAGAGTTTATGATTACAATCAACTCAGAAACTTGGTAGTTTTTGAAGTTTTATGTATATAAAAACTAGGCACTGAATGTTCTTACGGCAAATCTTCAAATGAATCTAAAATTAAAGCAAACTACAAAACAGGCATATTTTTTTAAAACAATGTATTTTTTAAAACTTGAAGAAAGCTTCACTTTTTTAAAGAATCAGCTTGATTTTTAAAACATGATATTTTTAAGACATTTGAAATCAATAATTTTCAGTTCTTCTTTAAGGATGACATAGTTTCAGACAATTAACATGTTAATTGAACTATTGGTTTAAAAATGTCCATAGAAAAGTACAAACAAATAGTTGTATGCTTATAAGTCACAAAATAACTGATTCTGTCAGTTATTTTACATATAATTTTTAGTGGTTGCATTTGTAGGAAGAAAAAAATTTCTGAAAAATGTTATATAAAAATTCCCTTTATATATTGCTACATAAATGATAGTGGGAGAAGCAAAAGTTTACTTACCTCCCCTTTCAATTGTCAACTGCATATAAACGTTTAATTTAGCAAAAATATTTTAATTTAAAAAATTGTGGTATTTTAGTGTATTCTGAGTTTAATATGCTAAGCAAGTCAATTTGTCTGTTTCACAAACTTGACCAGGCAAATCAGCTTTGGTTTTTTGTTTGTTTACTTAATTATGTTAATAATTTCACTATTTTTTCTATCTGTATATTATATATCAGCCCTTACAAACAATTACAAATTGCATAATTATATGTAGAAAGTATAATAACATAAGCCCACCAAAAAACTACAATTTGTTGTATACCTATTTCTATGAAACAAAGTATTATAACTATAAAATAAAAAATCCTAATATGTTACTTGTTTGGGGCTTTTGATGCTGTAAGAATCTCAAATCTGAATTTCTGTTCATCTTCAATTAGTGAGGTCTACATTAATTAGAGTTTATTTACTTCAGCCAGACTGGTTTCCCATTTGTGACTAATTACCCATCATGAATGTATTTACATAGAAAATGGTTTTAGGAGAGAGACGATTTCAATGTAATACAACTAGCTTGCCTTGCATAACAATTGGGTGTTACAATTCAAGAATTTGGTTTTTTTAATATAAATTATTTGAAAAATAAAAAAGATGTGAAAAATTACCCATAGTGCTTCCATCCAAAGACAGCGTATGCTAGCACCTTCATATGGTTCCTCAGTCTATGTATGCTTACTTAATTTTTTCATGATTGCAGTTCTGTTGCACACAATTTTATAACAGGCTTTTTGTAATTCTAGTACATCATAGGCATCTCCTGCATTGCTATCTAGTTTTGACAAGAATCATGTTATAGGTAGTATAATGTTCCTTTCCGTTAATACTCAACAAAAGTGAAATAGTTGTTTTTAATTGTTTTATTGTCATGAATATTATTCTGGTGAACATTTTGGTGCATAAGCCTCTCTCAGTATTTAAGATAGCATAAATTCACTAAGTTAAAATTACTGGGTCTAAGCAATATACACAGTTTTATGGTATTTGATTCATATTGTCAAATTACTTCTCAAAAGGTTTCCTATGCCCTTAGGGGATTCCCCTACTCCCCCCACCTTCCCCATTTGATTCCCAGAGTGCTTACAGGTACCCAATACAGAATACTAAGGCATTCAATCCTTGTTTCAAAGGGTTTTCTTTAAGCTTTCCAGATTCTGAATGTAGTTTTTCTACTGATACATAAAAATGAAATGGTTTTGATTTTAAAACATTCATTAAATAAAATTGTTTAGTGCAACAAAGGTAGTTGAGTAGTTTCAAAGAACGATTACTTCATGGAGATACCAAGGCTCCTCTCTTCGGTATCCATAGTGGGGATACCAGTTGCACTCTGCGTGTACAGCCCTGTTTTATCCTCTTACCTTTCCATTTCACATAAATAATTTCATCTAATCACTTGTGACATTCTGATGTGTGGGATAAAGGGCAGAGAGAAAACCCGCCCTTAGCAAGCCCTAAAATGGAAATGGTGTTTATCACAGTATGTGCCTTTTGCATTACATTTGGTTATACTAAATGAAACCTTTAACTAAGTTATTATTAGTTCACCAAGGTAGGTAATTATTTTAGTAGCTGTGAAATGTCAGGAAATTTGCATTTGAAGCCACTCCATTTCTTGCTAATCCTTTACTACTGGGATATATTCTCTTTTCATAAAATTTCCTCTAAGGTATATTCCCTCATTGTGGCTCCATTAGAAGAGAACAGGGGTCCATTTGTATATCTGAAATAGCTGCCTAGTGACAGTCACACTGACTTTGCAGCTCCTATATTTTTTTAATCTCTGTTACAGTCTCAAGACAGTGTAATTTGAAAGGTTCAAGGCAGGTTATTTTTGTTCAATTATATCTGAGAAGGTGTCCTTAAAATCAAAGCTGTGTAAATTAAAAATACTTTGCATCCAATTTGTGGCATGCTTCAAACCATTTATTAGATTATATACTTACTTAAAAATAAAGAAGCAATTGCTGCTTTGTGGCCCCTCTATGCTTTTTTCACTGATCACACTAAAGGACTATTATATGTGTGAGTTAATTAAGAAGCAATGACATGACCTACTGCTTTCTTGGCCATTTCTGTCAATCATGAGCATGCAGCCACCTCAAATATCAACTATATTTGCATGCTAACCCTCTCTGGAAACTCAGATCCTGTATACCTGTAATGCCTCAATCATGTTCACAGATTTTTATGTTGTTTTAAAACAACGGTTCTCAACCTGTGGGTTGCGATAATTAAGAAGCAATGACATGACCTACTGCTTTCTTGGCCATTTCTGTCAATCATGAGCATGCAGCCACCTCAAATATCAACTATATTTGCATGCTAACCCTCTCTGGAAACTCAGATCCTGTATACCTGTAATGCCTCAATCATGTTCACAGATTTTTATGTTGTTTTAAAACAACGGTTCTCAACCTGTGGGTCACGAGCCCTTTGGCGGTCGAATGACCCTTTCACAGACGTCGCCTAAGACCATCCTGCATATCAGATATTTACATAACGATTCATAACAGTAGCAACATTACAGTTACGAAGTAGCAACGAAAATAATTTTATGGTTGGGTCACAACATGAGGAACTGTATTTAAAGGGCCAGAAGGTGAGAACCACTGTTTTAAAATAATCTCAGGCAACAAAGTTTGTTTTTCACAATAGTATCTAGGTTTCTATTATAATTCAGTATGTATGTGGTAATGACCATAATAACAAGCCAGTCAGAGAAAGACAAGTATCACATGATCTCTCTCATATATGGAATCTAATGAACAAAATAAACTGATGAACAAAATAGATCTAGAGACATAGAAACATGGAACAGACTGTCGAATCTCAGAGGGAAGGCTGGGGTAGGTGGGTGAGTGGGAAGAGATTAACCAAAGAACTTCTACATATATATATATGCATAACCCATGGACATAGACAATAGCGTGATGAAGGCCTGGGGTGGGAAGCGCGGTTATAATGAACAAAATAAACTGATGAACAAAATAGATCTAGAGACATAGAAACATGGAACAGACTGTGGAATCTCAGAGGGAAGGCTGGGGTAGGTGGGTGAGTGGGAAGAGATTAACCAAAGAACTTCTACATATATATATATGCATAACCCATGGACATAGACAATAGCGTGATGAAGGCCTGGGGTGGGAAGTGCGGTTCGGCTAGAAGGGGTCAATGTGAAAAAAAGAGGACATCTGTAATACTTCCAACAATAAAGATAAATTAAAAGGAAAAAGAAATCCTGACCTCATCATTATGTTGTGAAGTATCAGACTCCAGGCAGGGTATCTGAGGTCTCAGTCCACACCACCTCTTCTTGCTTCAGGGTAGGAATGACATTGTGCAGTTGAGGGGTACCGACCTTGGAACCCCTCCAAGCAGCTTGCTGAAAGGAAGGAGAAAGCCTCGGACCACAGCGTGAGGTTTAACCTTCCAAAGCAGAAGGTCTTCAGCAACTGCTGGGTCTGAGCCTAGTGAGAGTGACAGACAGTGTCACTGGGATTTCAACCTCACAAATCAAGAGCACCAAGTCAGAGGGAACCATTTCAATAACGGATAGTGATGTACTTTTTGCTCTGGGTCCAAGGCAAAGTTTAGCCTACAATGAGTTGACATGGTTGACTTGCATAGCCATGGTAATGAGAATTTGTTTATGGAAATGGCAGTCAAGTGTGAACTACACATGCATTGCTATAACTGTTTGCTGAAAATGTGCGCCCACGGGTGCACCTCTCTACCAGCCACAGTAAATGTGGGAAAGAACATGAAAGAGCTGCAGAACAGTGGTAAATGCTTCTAAGCATATGGTTGTATCAGTAGATAAATATTATCCCATGAATAATCAGTCATTCTTTGAGGAAACACTGTCTTTCTGTTTGCCTTTGTAAAGTCATCTTAATTCCTTCCAACTTGGTTTTCTTCATTCAACCATCTCTAGTCCCCTTGTCCACCTCAGCCAACATCTATTTTCATAACTGCTCCCCCGGGAGAAGGGTTAAAAGAAACTAAACCAAATGGAATTTTGTGGAGAAAAGTCAAGACCTCAAAATTAATGAAAATTTCCA